GGCTGCGTGGATAATCGGTGTAGGTATCCCATGTTGGAGGGATGCTGTCACATCCCGAGGCCAAGCCTTCAGTCCTGAGCAACGTACCTTCGTTTTGTATTCACCGTCTGTTCGGTTGTACGCATGCCACTTACCCGGAGGCTGCTTGAGCGAATATTCATTCATGGGTGAAAGAAACAGTTAATAGTCTGACTGCATGCTACGCCTTTTTAAAACTTCAAATACAAAGACCGAGCCATTCTGCTCCAGAAATTTATAGGATTTTATATAGTATCTTGTAGAAACCTCCCTTAAAATCACTTGAAATCCAAAATTGTGAGCTATTCCAGCTTTTTCAGACATTTTAAGCGCAAGGCTACTTACCTTCAGTTGTTGCTTCCTCTTCTACAGAAGCAGCCGCTGCGGCAATTTTCTTCTTCGCCCTGTTAATCCTCACCAAGCCAATTACGCACTCGAATACAAGAATGATGGCCAATATAGCCAAGACAATCACCATGATGAACATTAACATGGGGAATCTGAAAGCACTTTTATGCTTTTTTTTGTGATGATACCACACTCGCGCCTGCGGGCATGGCGCTACAGAAAGTAGCACTGCTGTCCTGCAGTACATCGAAGATTTGACTTTGCCAGGGAAACTACCAGTTCGTTTATGGCTCGTTCATTTGTTTCGTTAGTAAATGGGATTGGTATATTCCGGAAGGTTAAATCCGCAACCACTAAGTAGTCTCAAAAAAAAAAGGGAGCTGATGACAGCTTTGCCAATGAGTGGTTGCTGTTGGCATTTACTGTCAATCGATCTATTTCTCGGGTGCCTCTGCCATTCACAGAGATCGAATACAGAGGAGATTTTGACTTTTGATTTCCACTAGTATCACACCCGTGCCAAGCGTTTATCATGTGCCATTATGACGTTGACTTAATGTGTTCCAAAACCTCCCAGCAAAACATCCGATGGATTAAACGTGCTTTTTCACAACAGTATAAGACTATCAATTACACCGCATA